GCAGCAATTTCCGAAAACGGAAGATAGCACGTGACAAATTGTGCACCGAACACAAGAAGTCGCAAAGCGAATGCGGCTGTAACGTATATCAGCGGGGAGACGATGCTAAGTGCACTTTGCATCGCTTCCCCGCTGATATCAGCGAGTAAGCAATGCAATATCAGCACATAAAAAAAGCAAATAGGCAGTATAGAAACGGACATCTACAAGTGCAGTAATAGGCCTCGACAAGTCAAATGTAGAACGAATTTTGCAGCTTGTGGTGCAAATGTAAGACCCTGGGTGTTATGATTGTTATTGGTTACTCAAGTTTTGTTTTTCATTCCGTTCATTCCTACGAGGATGTGCACTATAATTTTGTGTGTTGCTCGGTAGCGACGCCCGTTAAAATACGTTAATGGAAACAATACGAAAAGAGGGCGCAAAATCGTCGTCGTTGCCCCAAAACAGGGGCAACTGTCGACCCAATGCACACACCAGACTTTTGTACAAAATATCTCTCGTCAAAACTGACGGCAGTCGACTGAAGATAAAAGACTAGCAGCTCCAAAAAATGATCGCTGCTAACGCCCGCGGAACTTTGAAATCTAATTTCTCCAGACTCGTTGATCTTATCCCGAACAGCCTTGAGAAGTCCATCGTGAGGAACGGAATAATATAAGTCCTCAACATCCACAGATATTGCAGTGACAGCATTCTGAAAACCTTCTCTAAGTTCATTGACCATTTCTAGCGAGCTTTGCACCAAAAAAGGGTCTTTTAGCGCAAGAGTGTCCAAATGGCGCTGTAAGAACCGACTGATCTGAACCTGCCAAGTGTTCTTTTCTGACACAATGGCTCGGAAAGGACACTCAGCCTTGTGTGTTTTTCCCGCGAAAAACATTTCCAAAATTCCACTTTCTGCTTTGTCTACAGCTTTCCTTAACATGTCTAGGTTCAGACCCTTTAGCAACTCAACAGCCGCTGATTTTTGAGACTTTTGTCGAAACTTAACTTCTTTGAAGTTCTTATCTATTGCTCTCAATGCTTTTTCCTGGAATTGGCCCTTCGACATTACAACAAATCCCCCTTCCTTATCGGCCTGCACAAGCGAGAGTTCGTTGAGCTTGAAAAAATCTACAACCTTCTTAAAAGGTGGTTTTGCCTTAGGGCGTCGACTCACGGATTCTTTCAGGCAGTCCACACCATCACCAATAGCACGCTCCCTGTTCTGTTCCCCAGCGCTGTTCGCTACTCTTCGTACCATGGCCAGCAGTTCTGGTCGAGATGTTGACGGTTCGAAGCTGTACTTTGGTCCTTTGTTCAGGTCATCCTTGATCTTCTCTGGAAGCGCCGCTCCCCCCAAGACGGTAACGCTGTCCATGCAAATGGCATCGCTCTTCTTTTTTGGCGGAAGCTGCATTCGCGTCTGTTGCCAGATGAACTCCGTTGTTTGCGACGCCAATCTTTTGTAGTCTTCAAAGCGGCGCTTGGCATGGTGGTCCTCCTGTTCTCCCAGTACGATGATACGGAGCCAGTCCAAATACAGTCGTATTTGTCTCCAGTATTCTGATTTCAGGATCTTGCACAGCCGTCTAGTGTGCCCCCAGGATGGTTCCACGACTCCGAAAAGGCCTTGCACTTCCCTTAGCACAAGCTTCCTCTTCAGGCAAAAAGAAATGGTTCGGGATTGGCACGTTGAAATGGCGATTAGATTGATGCACGTGATGGCGGGATCTTGGTGTACACGATGAAAAAGGAAGGAGCCCAGTGCAGAAGAAATATGTTGCATTAAAACTTGGGTTTGGGCTAGTTGGTCCATTACTGAATAAAAGGTTAAAAAGCGCGAACAAACGAGGACAATAAAGAAACACGGACGACAGTACAGGCGCTTCACTCTCAACTGGTTTTTATTTACACCATTGTCACCTATATATACACATTGCCCATACCACATCGAATTCAATCGCGACAATCAGAGCCAACCTCCAGAAACACCATCTCACTCTGGAGCAAATACAAAGACGGAGCGCTGACGCAATTGTTTTCTTTCTTTTTTTATGTAGAATGCCTCTGTAATCTCTCTTTCCGTTTTTTCCTTTGCCTTTCTTAAAAACTTTGTGCCAGTCAGGTCAGGTTTACATCCACATCGCCCACAATGGTCAGCGAGATGGCCCCCCGCGTTGTTGCGCACACACAAATTATGTTCACGTGCTCTATCATTGAAGCAGCGCCCAGTCTGCCCAATGTAGACTCTGCCATAACTAAACGGAACCTCGTACACCACATTGGTGACGCACGCAGTATATTGCACCGCGGGTTTCTTGGAGCACGGTGCCTTTTTCTGCCTTGTCAACATCGGACATATCCTGGCAAGTTTACACGGTGCAGAAAAAACCACGTTAATGTCGTATCTACCAGCTACCTTTTTTAGATTATGAGATAGGGTATGCATGTACGGAATGACTTGCACTCGTTTCTTTTCTTTACGTGCTTCGCTGCCTTTTTTACTTCTTTTTAGCTTTTGAAGAAGGCTCTCACAACAACTAGAGATTAGATTAGGGGTGTACCCCGCGTCTGCTAACCTTTTCGATTGTCGTTCAAAACTGATTTTCGTCTGGTGGTTGCAACTTTTTTCCAGAGCCGCACTTAGACATGTCAAGGCTATACCCCTCTTTACCAGTTTAGAGTGAGCGCTTTCAGACAACACCAGGCTTTTCTTAGTGCGCGGACAATACTGCTGTTTGTTAGTAGTTTGTTTTGTTAGTAGTAAACGTTACAGGTCGAGCTAACGCAAGTACCCTGCCCGCTCCGCGGTAGAACGTTGGCTACGCAATCAAGCTCACGACGTCTCTATCGGCCTTCGTGTTGGTCATGCACAATGTCGAAAGCTTTCAATAGTTCACGCGACTATCTTAGTGGGTAGAAAGGCTGACATTTTGGTCAATCAGGGGCGGGTTCCGACGTTCTACAGGCAGAGATTAACAAGGCAGCGAGCTTGGGCTGTGGCACCCGGAATAATCAACGAACTCTTACCCGAACCAAATCACCGGTGCGAAGCCCGTTAAAATTACGAGTCAATTCTTTTCGCGGCGGATTCAAGTGACGGACGTGAACATCAAGTTTCTCCGTTGATTTGTCGAAAGCTAAGACTACAGCGCTAGGACTACAGAGCCTTGGACGCCTCACCAGCGACAGGTGCCATCTTGTTTCGAAAGTCACTGACGTCACGCATGTCAGCATCGCGTTGTGATTGGTTGCCGCTTTGCGGTTCGTGAAAGCGGTTGGGAGAAATCGGTCCCGAAGCGGTTGGCAAAAACGCGCTCCAACCGCTCGATCCTAGCCGCTTTGCGGTTGAGAACGCGCGGATCCGCTTCGCGAACGCGGATCCGCTTCCAGTGTGAACGCGCCATTAATAGCCGATTCACACGACGGACCGAATCGCGATTTTCGTCCGCGGACCGTGTACCACGTGACTGGCACGTCACCGATTCCTGCGATCCGCGCCTCCTCCGCGGAGGCGCGGAGTGATAAAGTCAAGCGCCTTTTTCACTCGCGGATTTTTGACGGAGGATATCGAATGCTTTGGCAGCTTTGGCTTGAAAAACATAGTTAGTTTGGCAACAGTGAAACTTTCCTGGTTTGCGCGGGAAAGATGGCTGGCGAACCGTACTCCGATTTTGCTGTCCCTGGCCCTTCGTACGGCTCAAAATTAAGCGATGAAGCAAGCATGTTTTTCATTTCGCTTGTGGAGCATTTCCCAGCGCTTTGGGACATGACGATGAGCGAGTACGCCAACAACGCTTTGAAAGGCGCGTTGTGGCGACAAATCGCCGACGAGATGGAGGACCGCTACCCTGAATGCGGCCCGTACGTCCCCGGTACGTATTATGACTATGATGTACTCCATTTCTTATTCCGTCCGAGCATGCAGAAAACATTTGAAAAGTACTCACGCCACCCAGTACACCTATTTCTTTAAACTGTTCGCCGCGTTTCCCATTACTGTGCGTGCAGTGTGGCGGGTCGCCCGTAGGGAGACTCGATCTCTTGCTTCGAGATGGTTCGGTTGCTTTAAAATAGGGGCTCCCCTACGGAAGCACACCTTTCATTGTTCTCTCTGCTAGACTGCGAACAGAAAGCTACTCTTACCAAGCCGACCGATGAACTCTTATTGCGGAGATCGCGCAGTGTTGTATCTAGATTTGAAGTTTTTTTTTTTTCTTTTTTTTTTTTACGGTGGGGGATCGCTACTGCTGCATACATTGGTGTTCAATGGTATTGAACCCTGCAAAGCTTGTTTACCTGAAAGTGCAGGAAAAAAAAAATTGCTTACACACTGATTGTGCCCTGCATTACCCGCAGCCCTTGAAGAGTAAAATATGTTTTGTGTTACAGATACGCTGAAGACATTCTTCAATAACAAAAGGAGGACCTACCGTGCAGAGAAAAAAAAACTGGAGTCATCGAAAAGCGGCCAAGCTTCCAGCGATTCCTACAAGGGCAAATGGAAGTTCTTCCATTGTCTGAACTTCCTAGATGCTGCCAAGCCGACAGGGACAAGGACCTTCAGCGAGGCTTTTGAGGTGGCAGAGCCAGAGGCGGTAAATTTTGTAGCTGCCTTATATATGCCATTCCAGAAGTCATTGCGATACACTGCTATCTGTTGTGTAGATTCTTGTTTTGAGCGACTATCCCCTTTTGCATGCTAAGAAAAGCTGAACAAGCTCCTCCCACTCTTTTCACTTTAGCAAGAGAAAGCTGGAGAGGAGGCAAGGAGCGACCCACCTTCTGTCCCGTGTTCACTCGCTGAAGTGGAAAGAGGAGCATGATCTCTTCCTGCTTTTCTTAATTTGCACAATAGACTTGTTACGGTTACGCCACTACAGTGACAACTGAAACATTAAGGCAAGACGTGCAGCATCAATCGAGTAATTTTTTGCGTGCAAGTTTTGACAGCGGGAAGTTGGACTGCGCCAAGCGCTGTCCTTTATCTCCACTGTAAATGAGAAATTCAGCCATTGCAGTACAAATGCCAGCTTTATATCATTTTTTCTAAATTTACGAGCATTTATGAATTTTTTAGCCATTCTGTGCACACACTCTGTGCACGCATGAGCACTTTACATACTGTCAGTGTGAATTACAGTGGCACATGTTTATTCATGAGACGAGTACATAAAGCTAGGGATGCAAGCAGGAACACCGAATACTTTGCTCAAGTATATTGGGCACATGGAGTGCATTTCAACTGTCATGAGGTACCGTACCCTCATATGAAGACAATATAAAACACCTGCTCTAACATAAAAATACAGTCAGTTCTTGAACATCTTGTAAATTAAATGATTTTGATATTACTGGAGTTTGTTTCCTTCTTTGCAGGACAGGGCAGGTCAACCTTCTTGAAGCCCACGAAGGCTGGCATAACTTGCTCTGTGCATAGATAAAATTAATTTGCATGCAACTTTTAATTACAGCAAAACGCTGAGCAAAGTGCGGACCAGGATGCCGACCCGGACGCCAACATCGAGTATGCGCCACAGCCGTCCCCTGCCTCAGTGAGTACGGCCAGCAGTAGTAGCGTGTCAAGGAAAGCTCGCAGCCCTCAGCTAACGATTGGGCTGCGAGAACAGCTGCCCTTGAAAAAATAGCAGTTGCTGTACAACAGCCTTCCGACGCAGATGACGCCTCTGCACATTTTGCGAAGGCTGCTGCAGCACTCATGCGACCAATGAACCCATTAAAGTTGGTTCGCTGCCAGGCTGAAATACTCAGTGTCATAGAAAAACATCTGACCGAATAAAAGTTGAAGTTAACTGTTTACTTGCTTCTTTTTGTCTGCACTCCTTTCTTCGGTCTGCGTGTGCAGTGTTTGTCTAACTCAACGTAGGCGGCCTCTCGCTGCCATGACACAGCACCCCTGCCATTGAAAAAACTACACATGTCCTCTCTCACTGCAGCGCCAAATGTGCTAGCACGTCCACGCGATGCTGGGAAGCTGAAAAACGTTGGGCGACCTCGGCGTTCGTTCTCTGCATCTGCCCTTGATGCTTGTTGGGGCAGCACGTCGTTGCTGAGAAAGTTGTGCAGGACACATGCAGCATTGACGATGGCAGTGGCCCTTTCGGGAATGGCATTTATCACTGTCAGCAAACACCTGAAACGGTTGGCCAGGATTCCGAATGTGTTTTCGACAACACGTCTAGCTCTGGACAACCTGGAAAGGAACAGGCAAGTATCGAGCGAGTCATCAAGACTAAGAAGCAGATCAGTAGGCAGCAGACTTTTCTATTCTAGCTGAAACCAAGAGACTGCCAGCGATGGAAATGTAAAATTATGACTTAAGAACGCCACTTTTCAGACATTGCCGGCACGTACCAACAACTATTTTGTCGAAACCTCTCCTCCCTATAATCAATAACAGGGTAAAAACCCACAAGATGTTCTGTCTCCAGCATGCGCCCGTTGCCTTCCCCCAGGTTTGGGCTGTGTGCGACGATGTATACTATCAAAGGCACACAGCTCGTGCTCGAGGCACAGCATCTGCCGAGTTCTTAGCCTGTCACAGGCTATGGACATTCATGGGAAGTGCCATTTTGGCTAGAATAAAGCATCCTGCCAGTCTGCAATCAGTCGAGTCGTTTGATTTGGAGGACAATGGCTTGAGAGGTAAGTCGGTACAGATAGATGATGGTAATATATTGTCCCAATATCTTCCAGCTCGGCTTACTATAGAAAAATCAGGCAAGTGATGGCAAGCAGTTTACAGACGAGTTGTTCTTGTTCTGTAAAACCTGCAGGTTTCTTGAAGTTGAATGCAAGCCAAGCAATCTTGATTTCCAGTCCTTATGATGCTGCCAGTGCTCTTTTCTTGGAAGCTGTTTGCAACAGACTAACCAGTACTGTTGCAAACATCTCTTGAGATTCCTGATCTGTAGCAGAAATACTGCAAAGCCATTCTCAAAATTGTGCACCGTATCCAGGAAGAGATGGGTAGACCGGCCGGTTAGAATCTTTCACGTATAAAAACACATGAAGTGTTTTTATGCACAAAGTGTCTGTGAAACAGCTTTGATTGAGTAAATAACTTTTAACTTGGATTCGTATATTCACCTCTATCTGACATACCACCAAAACTTACCTGTAATTGAATATCCGCTGTTCTTCCGTGAGCTTTGTGCCACCAAACGGCTTCATGAGATTTTTTCCAATAGGAAATGCATCATCGCCCACAAAAACGGGGGGCAGAAACTTGTCTGGTGAGCTTGCTACCTTCACCAGCTCTGGCAGATGGATCTTCTTGCTTGCCAGAGCTCGTTGTAACGGTGTAGTCTGCCAGATGCCGGCGTCTCCTTGTGATCCCGGGGCACCGACGTCGGTGTAGATGAATTTGCAGTTTGCATCTACCACAGCGAAGAGTATGATACTGTGGGTCTTCTTATAATTAAAGTAGACAGATCCAGAGTTTGGTGGCTTCCAGATGCAGACGTGCTTGCCGTCGAGTGCACCGGCACAGTTTGGGAATTGCCATTTCTGGGCGAAACCACTGATCACATCCAGCCACTCCTCTTCGGTCTTTGGAGTTCTTATGAAGTCCTCCTTCAGCTCTTCGTAGAGTGCCGTGCACGTTTCATGGATGAGGTCATTGACACTTGAGTGTCCAAGCCTGAATTGACGGCTTAATGAATGATGACTCTCTCCTGTCAAATGCACGAAGAAAAATCAAGTTGCAATTATTCGGCTTATCTCAAGATGGCATGATCTAGGAAGTTCTCCAGATGCATCAGGCAGAGCCGAGGAAGGGCAGTACATTAGATACAAATAATTGAATTACCAAAGGAAAGAAAAAAGAAATGAGGGTAACAACAAGCCGATCCTGGTTAAAAGTGGTGGATTTAACTGAAATTGGTTTTCTAAAGGATGACACAAACACAGAAGTCTCAAACACGGCTGATTTTTTATTGGACAAAATGGAGGAGTGCACAGCACGGGACTTACAGGGATACAGGAAGAGACACTTTCCACAAACTATCATTCCCCAAAAGAAATTCGTCCCCAGACCTTACAACTTCTTGCACATAACCACCCAAGGACAGGAAACATGTCTTTAAAATGGTGGAAATTGTTCTGTATTAAAAAAAGAAAAAAACATGCCGATCCGAACACCCAAGATACCTTTCGCTATTTGGATTATGGAAAAAGAAATGCAACTGGAAATGTATTGGAAACTTGATATCCAGATAGAAGCCAATAAGATATCTTGTTCCATAAGCCAGATAGCGAAAAGTTATACTGGGTTCTGGGGCAGGGATATTGCGGAATATTTGATGATCATGTTGATGTATATATCTATATCTATATATATATATATATATAAATTTAATTCTTATTAAACACCAATTTGGGCCCTCTTTTTTACCAGGTGGATAGACAAATGAACCGTGCTACACACTCGGCCACCGCTACCTCGAATGCATCCCGAGCCCCTGACAACAATCGACGAACACTGCCCCGTCCAGCTATCTGCACAGCTAGCTCTTACATTCTTCCAGGCGAGAGGTCCGGGATGGCTTAGGCGGGAACCCGCCGACAAGAGAGACAAACATCTGGGGGTGATAACGGATCCGAGGTCGTAGCCTCCAGAAATTTATTACGCGCTGTACAACAAACGAAGGCTGGAGTGAAGTTACTTACCCGTTGCAAGATAACGAAGAGTGACTTGTAGCCGTGTCTCTGGTGGAATTGCTCGCCGCATCACAGTGTCCTGCCGCGCTATTCTGGGTCCCACGCGAGACAGCAGCTGCAGGAATTGCTCGCGGCTGACGCGCAGCAGCCTGCGGTACTCCTCGGGATCGCTGTCGAGGAGCTCCTCGGTAAGTTGGTTTTGCATACCGCGTTCCTTTCTGCACATCCAGTCTTTCATCCAAAGCGATCTCTTGGACCCACACGACTCATCTTCATCGCAAGATAACGCTGCGGTCATCGCGGCCAAACGACGCTTTCGATCGACCTCCATCTTGACGATTACTCTGGACAACAGTGCGCTGTTGGCGTTTCGCGGGCCTGGCGGGCCTGTGGGGTCGAGAGTTCTCCTAGTTGTCGTCTGCTCGTCTCATCCGTCGTGTGGATGCTCTCGGGAGCTCGAGGCTCCGCGGATTTGTCATCACGTGACCAATCCGTCCGCGGATCAGTCCGTCGTGTGAATCGACCATAATGGGGTATCCACACGAAGGAGAAATCCGCCCCTTTCCTCCGCGGATCGCGCATCACGTGTGACATACGTCATCCCTTTTTGACTCCTCGCGGCGCGTTCTCCTCCGTGGCGGAGGCGCGGAGGCTTTGCGCTGACAGCACGAAAACTCCGCAAGTGCACGCGGCGGAGCCGGGGACGGAGTTTCCCGGGATGTTAACGTCACGACATCCGTCCGCGGAGTTCTCCTTCGTGTGGATACCCCTTAAAGAGGGCGAATTTTCGACGCGCGCGGCGTGTCTGACGTGACGGAGCCGACTTCGGCCAACGTTCACCTGCGCGCGCGTTACGTCGTAGTATAACAGAGCCTTAACACCCGATGCCGACAGCACGCGCTCACGGGGAAAATACAAAGAAATTGACGAAAACAAAATGTCGCCATAGCACAGTCAGCGCCACAAGAGCGTGCAGGGACACGCTCTTTCACGCGCTTCTAAACAAAAAAAGAAAAAGAAAAGTGTGGGACAAAATGGCCAGATATCTCCACCCTAAGCAAAGCGCACATGAAGGCACACTAGTTTCATAATGTTCATTAAAAAATAAGTCAAGATAAAAGCATCGGTATGGCTTGCATACAAACGGGGTCCAATCAAGCATCCTTTCCCCAGCAACTACAATTCCATGTGTTTTTAAATATACAAGGCGCTTGCTACGACTATTTTCAATAACAGCAGGCGCCTATTTGGTACTAACACACACTGCAGTTGTGTCAATTCAGAAATTAAAAACTTCCCCACCTCGGACCCCGCAGGGGGCACCTGTGAAAGCAGGTGTTTGGAGAGTGGAGTCTCCACGGACCCCGAGCCATGCGGGTCCGCCCGCCCACGCCTGGCTGTGCGTGGCTTTCCCGTGTCCGGGGAAAAGGGCATCCTGGTGGTTGAGCCGAGCCCGGGGTAGGTTTAGACCCTTCGGGGCCCCCCGGGCGAGGCAATACACCACTTCGGCCCCCGCTTCCCGTAGAGGGGTGTCCTGGCTTGGCCCGACCAGGATGTTTCAGTCAGTTGCCATTTTTTCTACTATCCCCTTTTTTCTTTCTCTTTCCTCCTTTCTCCTATTCTTCGTTTTCACCTTCTTTGGCGGCAAGGGCTAACCTTGGGTGGCGACAGAACACTCTCATGATCCACACTTGGTTATAGCTTCCTAGTAGCACTGGTAGAGTAGCATACTCAGACAAGCCAGACCTCTTATGAGATGTTACCTATCCCTTTGTTGGACTCCGCGGTGGGTGGTGCGCTACGGATGCCGAAGCTTCTGCCCTTCATATGGGTTCCAAGCAAAAAACCTCCCCCGATCGGACCCTGAAAAGGGTCCGGACCGAAGTATTTAACAAAGAGACATCAGCTGCTGCCCAGAATAGCTTCAGCCGCTTTCTGGTAATGCAATCATAAAATGGAAAACCACTTGCCGAACTTTCACCGTTTCTTATTTCAAAGACTTTAGAAAACCTAATTGGTAAAAACTTCAAAGCAAAGAAACTAGCATCTGGCGACTTGCTCGTTGAGGTGGAAAACGGAGTGCAAAGTGTTGTTCTTTTAGACTTAAACAAGATCTCGGACTACAAAGTATCTGTCACCCCACATCGCACCTTGAACAGCTGCCAGGGCGTCATCTCAGAGGACGACCTGCTGGAGTCTAGCGAAGAGGAGATCTTGGAGGGCCTTTCCGGGCAGGGTGTGGTCGCCGTGCGACGCATCTTCATACGCAGAGACGGACAGGAGAGACCATTGAAGCACTTAGTCCTCACTTTTGCTTCCACTGTGCTGCCCAAGAACATCAAGGCAGGCTATCTTCATTGCAAGGTGCGCCCCTACATACCAAACCCGAGACGATGTTTTAAATGCCAACGATATGGTCACAGCTCTGTTACCTGTCGTGGGAAAACGACATGTGCAAAGTGCGGAGCTACGGACCATCCAGCTGACACATGCGAGGGTACACTTCTCAAGTGTGTCAACTGCTCTGGTGCCCACCCCACTTACTCTCGAGCCTGCCCAAAGTTTCAGGAGGAAAAGAAAATCCTAACACTAAAATCAAAGAAAACCTCACATACCCTGAAACAAGGAAGCGATTTTCCTTCCTCCAAGGAGGCACCTATGCCGAGGCGGCTGCCAGGGGGGCAGCGCCGCCACTAAAGGCAACGGTGGGCACTCAGTACAGTCTTCGCGACTTGGAGTGCTCACCCAGCCCCCCAACCACCAGCGAGGCCTCTGTGGGTTCTCAGACCCCAGCGGCCCTGCCCAAAGCCCCACGTGCCAGGACGGTTCCCCATCGTCCTGGCCCTAAGCCCCGAGTGGTGCTTGACACCACTCCCTCTCAGAGCAGCGAGGGGCCCGCTCCTTCCACTTCACAGCGGGAGGAGGAGGCCATGCAGGTATCTGTTGATCCAACAGAACCACCTCCACCCGCCAAGGGAGGCACAAAGCATACCCCCGAAAAGGGGGACCAAAAGAAAAAACTTCCTCGAGTCACTGCCCCGAGTGTACCATAGCTTGTGTCCACTCACAGCTGTGAACCCCACAATTTTAACTATAATTTAATTCATCTGTGATGAGTCATTTTAGTTTCATGCAGTGGAACTGTCGGGGTCTCCTTCATAATATAGATGATGTTCACTTTTTACTTAATGAGCTACGCCCGATAGCTTTAGCATTACAGGAGACCTATTTGACGTCCACACATACCCAAGTTTTACGACACTATCACCTCTTCCGGAAAGACCGCCCATCTTCTCATTCATCCGGCGGTGTTGCCATTGTTGTGCAGAGTGGAGTGGCATGTGCCCAGGTCCCCCTTGACACGCCCCTTGAGGCTGTGGCAGCACGAGTTCTTACGTACCGCCTCATTACTGTTGTCTCACTGTACCTACCACCACACATCCCCGTACATATTCATGACCTCCAGAAGCTTTTAACTCAACTTCCACAACCTTTATTAATCTTAGGTGATTTTAATGCTCATCACACCATGTGGGGCAGTGCACGAGTTGATTCCCGCGGAAAAGTGATTGAACGGTTTTTATTGTCTTCAAATTTATGTCTTTTAAATAACAAGGCCCCATGCAACCTTTTTTAGTGCTGCACACAACTCTTTCACCTGCATTGATTTATCTATCTTATCACCATCATTGCTTCCTTGCCTTTCTTGGAAGGTTTTACATAATCCATTTGGCAGCGACCATTTTCCAGTCGTTTTAGAGAGTGTGGTCGATCTCCCCACACTACAAAAGCGTATGCCTAGGTGGAAACTTGACAAGGCGGACTGGGAACGTTTCAGCCTAGCTGCTACACTTGATGCTTCACTATTGGCCACTCTGTCCCCTGATGAGGCTACAACATATGTTACTCAACAGATAGTCAATGCAGCTGAGCACTTTATCCCACGTACCTCCGGTAATTTGCCAAAAAAGTGCAAGCCATGGTGGAACAAGGACTGTTCAACCACACTTACAAGACAAAATAGAGCCTGGGATGTCTTTCGTAGGTACCCCACCGTGGACAACAAAATTGAATTTAAGAGACGAAAAGCGCAAGCTCGCTGGACAAGAAAGCAGGCAAAAAAAAAATCTTGGATGAAATATCTCTCTTCTATAAGTAGTTTTGTTACGGCTAAAGAGGTTTGGGATCGTGTACGCAAAATCAAAGGTGACTACCGGGCTTTTACCATTCCAGTATTTAATCTGCCTTTGGGGTCAGTTAAAGACGTTGCTAATGTTCTTGCGAAGCATTTTCATAGTGTATCTAGCTCTGATAATTATAGTGCTGAATTTAAACAGTTTAAATCTCGTGCAGAGAGTTGCTCTATTTTTATGGGGGGGTCTAACTCGCAGCCATATAATGGGCCCTTTACAATGTGCGATCTAGAACAAGCTCTCGATGTAAAAAAGATGTCTGCTCCAGGGCCAGACACATTGCACTATGCTATGCTTCGAAAGTTGTCACGTGACTCGCTCAGAACACTCCTTCTTTTTTTCAACTCTCTGTGGGAGAAGGCATGCTTTCCCCAGGCATGGAAGCGGGCTCACATCATACCACTCCTGAAACATGGCAAAGACGCTACGCTCCCTTCCATTTACCGACCCACTGCACTCACTAGCTGCCTGGGGAAAACATATGAGAGACTGATTAACAGACGGTTAATGTACCTTTTAGAAAAAGAGAATCTTTTTGCAAATAACCAGTGTGGCTTTTGTCGCGGACGATCTGCAGTGGATCACTTAGTCCGCCTGGAAACAATGATCCGTGAAGCTTTCGTGCATAAACAACACTGTGTCTCGGTTTTCTTTGACCTAGAAAAAGCATACGATACCACATGGAGGTATGGAATACTTAAAGACCTTTACAACTATGGTATTCGGGGCCGGATGCTGAAGTGTATAGGAGACTTTTTAACGAATTGGACATTCGATTGGGCTCTACTTTGTCTGATCCATTTGTTCAAGAAAATGGAGTTTCTCAAGGGGGCATCCTCAGTGTTACCTTGTTTGCAGTCAAGATAAATTCCGTTGCCACAATTCTCCCGTCTTCCATCTCATACTCACTTTACGTAGACGATCTTCAAATCTCGTGTTCCTCCTGTAACAGTTTCACCTGTGAACGCCAGCTTCAGTTGGCTCTAAAAAAACTTGGTACTTGGGCAGATGAAAATGGATTTAGGTTTTCTCCAGAAAAAACGGTTTGTGTGCCATTCTCCTTGCGCCGTGGGCTGCCTTTGAATCCAGACCTCGAACTGAAAGCCATGCGGTTGCCTGTTAAAAATGAGCACAGGTTTCTGGGGGTGATCTTCGACAGGAAGCTTACTTTCATTTCCCACTTGAAGTGTCTGAAGGAAAAATGCCTTAAAAGTATGAACCTC